TTACAATAACTATGGTTATAAATAAGTGTTACTTATTAAAGATTTCCCGTTATGACTATGGATACAGTGGCGGCTCGTAGAAAAATTAGTGGAGGTGCTGCTTCAGAAAATTTTTATCCATTTGTGAAACAAAACAAGCATATAAAAGGAAAATTTATACATAAGGTTGATAAAATCATAAACAGAAAAATATTTTTTACTTACCAAAATTTGTTACAGTTAAAGCTTGACCCATTCTTTTAAAAAACGAAATCCATTTTTTTGTTCTACTTTGCGCAAAAAGATTAAATAATTTTCTCCTTGATCTCTTGATGACTGTTGAGGAAATTTTTCTCCATTGAAAGCACTGCAAGTGCATTTAGTCTTTCATAATTCATAGTGCTCCTTAGAAAAGTTTTTATTCTTTTCAGTGTTGAAAAGCAGCGTTCTGGCTCTGATGTAGTCATGGGAATTGTCAAGAGGATTTTTATCAGTTTCGTAATTTCACTAAGAACACCCATTAGATTTTTTTCCCAAGATAAATTTCAGCAGCTAAATTTAAATTTTTGCAATATTCATGCATATCACATCTACAATAAAATACTTTTAGTTCAGTTTCAAGCTTTTCTTTGTCAATCATGGGATATGCTTCAGTGGTCAGTACTATCTCTTCTGCAGGCAGTTCATTCTTAAAACTAGTGAAGCTTTTCTTGTTGAACAATTTAGCAGCTACTAAGTGTTTAGTGGAAGAATATCTGTCCATTATATCAACACATATACAGTCACACACTTCCTTAGCTTCTGCCATGAGTGTCTTTGAAGGATTCTCACAGTACTTTGAGTTTCTTATTTTTAAAATAGCAGTTTTGAAATTTGTTATATATTCACTGACTTTAAACACACTAATTTCTTGAGATTGCATTTGGTTGTAAATTACTTCAACATGAGGCATAATCTGACGAAAAAGCTCTAACCAAAACGTGAAATTATCATCATTCAGGTATTTTAAAATTCCTGTTGCTTCTGCAATGGTTTGATATGCATTTGATGTTGACTGAATTTCAATAAGGCAGCTTTTTAAAACTTGCAGATTTTCATGAACTCTGTTTATTGTCCATATGTTAAAATTCCACCATGTAGAGGATGGATGTGGAATGCTGATGTTCATATGCTTCTTGAGAATGTATACACATTGCGGTGATTTTGAGAAGAATGCTGGAATAGCCAAAATGTTAGAGAAAAATATTCTTGCGTTCGGTGTAATACTTGCTGCATTTCTCATTATTAAATTAACTTGATGTGCATAACAGTGAATGAAATGAGCATTACTATAAACTGCTTTTATTTTTGCATGAACTCCTGCTTTTTTTCCTTTCATGACATTTGCACCATCAAATGTCTGAGCTATCAGTTTTTGTCCATTTCCTTGAAGGATTATGTCTAATTGTTCTAGAATACATCTTGATATGTCATCTGCAGTTTGATTTTCTGGAATAAAGAATCCCCAAAAACGCTCAAATATTTCTCCATTCAACACGTACCCTAGAACAAAGACCATTGGTGTATTCCCAAACATCTGTTTTTGTCATCAGCCATGACAGCTACAAAGGAAGCTTCTCTAATTTCTGTCCTTATTTCCTCATGGTATATTTGTAGCAGGCAGTCAAGCATCTCATTGTGAATAGTCTTAGAAACACCTTTGAAGACCGTACTGGTTTCTAAGTGATTCTTCAAATATGGATCTAATTTAGATGCAAAATTTATTAATCCTCTAAATACCCCTGGATTTTCTGAATCATCTTTTTCATCATGTCCATGTACAGGAATTTCAAAGTTTCCACAAAAGAAAATACAGTCTATGATTTTGGATAAAATTTCACGGTTCTTTTTAACCTTTATATTATGTTCATTGATTGAAAGTCTGTATGCCTCACTAGGTTTCTCCTTAATATTTATGTTTCCTAAAAGTGACAGTGAAACCACATTTTCAATGTGCTTCTTTGACTTCTCATGTTTTTCAGTTTTTTCTTTCATTTTGTTTATATTTCCAAAACCGTCTTTTGTCCACATTACATCACCTCCAAACAACAAACATGGAAAGCAAAACAAAGCATTTTTTACTTCACAGCCGCAAAGCCAACTTTTCCGTTGGTACCATTCAGAATTAAAGCTACGAATGTACTTCTTGTTGTTGCTTATTCCTGGCTGAGATATTTGAATATCAGGTGTTGAACGGCCTCTTTTCTTAACTGTAACTTTCTCCTGGAGAGACAACTGTGAAAACTTAAGCTGTTGAAGTTCACTTACAGTCACAGAACTTATTTCTTGGGGATGCAAGGAGGCCATGATCAAATTATTTAAATTTTCTGTAAAAAAGAGCCAAAAAAAACTATTAAATAAAATAGCTAGAAGCATGATAATCATCTAATTCTACACTTTATCACATTCAAAAATATGGTACATGGTTTTTAAGCACACACGTCACTGAGTCAAAAGACACTACCTTATACAATGGAGCCCCGGATAACGATCAGCTCCCAACTCGACCAATTATGTAAGTTTATTTTTGTAAGTGCTTTTGTAGGTGTATTTTTAGGGGTCTGAAATGGACTAATCTAATTCGCAATATTTCTTATGGGTACAAATTCGGTCTATAACGGCACCCAAACAGACTTCTGGATTGAAATAATATCGTTATGCGGGGGTCCACTGTACTAAAATCTGGAACACCCTACCTGAAAATTCTAAAACTGCAGACACATTCATCACCTTCAAAACTACCATCAGAAAACATCTTATCTCCCTGATACACCCTGTCAACTAATTACACGAATACCACCTGGTGGTTCACACTTACACTCACTCACCCATTTGACCATAAACAGAAATATCAATCTCAATCTCAAAATAATGAATCTTAACTAGTCATAAGTTGGCCTGTGATACTCCAATACTGAAACTATGTATAGTGCCAAAACAAAAGCATTCACATTGCTAAACTCACAAACTAGTATTTAGTCACTTAGCCATAATACCAACTTACCTCATAATTTTGTAATATTTTAAACTTAAGATTTAATCTAAGTCTGCCCGAAATGCCTAGCCATGCTAGGTGTTCTAGTGGTACACTCTGTAATTATTATTTTACTACATATAAACCACACAATAACCAAATTCTGTAAACTAAGCATTGTAATCCTTATAGAGAATAAACTTTGAATTTGAATTTGAATTTGAACAAGGTCATCACTGCGTCAGCGACAGTGCTCTCTCTACCTAGCGTGCAGCATCTTATCTCGGACATGTGCGCATGCACACAACAGCCCAAAAACCAGAGTCGCTGGAACTGTGAAGCGCACAGTTTCCATACAAGGATTTTTGACATTTAAGTTTAACCCCTTAAACTGTCCAAACGTAGATCTACGTTCGCACACGTAGTGCCCCAAACGTAGATCTATTTTTTTTTTACATAAGAAACAATGTAAAATTCGATGTAGATCTACGTTTGGAGCACTACCCGTTTGGGCAGTTTAAGGGTTAAGGATTATATGATGTACAAGTATAAAGAATTAAAGAAAAAACTCATTATATTGAATGTTTATTGATAATATAGAGTGAAAATAGGGGGGTGCTGCAGTTCCACAGTGCCTATACACGAGCCGCCAATGAACTCAACTACTGGTCGTACATAAGTGTTATTTATTCAAGATTTGCCGCTATGACTACTGGATAACTATAACATTAGCCTGTCTATTTTTTGTCCTTTGAAACTGCATGACTACCATAAGCAAAATTTATACAGGTCTCCCTCAACATTCGCGAGGGTTAGGGGATCAAGAGCCTTGCAAATGGTGAAAAATTGCGAATGTTTGATGCCCCAATATATTGTAGGAAAATATAATACAATACCGTTTCCTTAATTTGTTGAACCATGAACAATCACAAAATACATGAAAATGTCGTAAACTGTACTAAATACATACATGTTATGCTTTAATAACATGTATGTTATTAAATACCACTGCCTCCACCAATGCCTCCACCACTTCCTCAACCACTGCAAGCCCCTACTACCCTCCCTCCGGCCCCTGCAACTGGCAGCCAGCCCTCCCACCACTGTGTGGTGTTTTGTTTGTTCATTATTTGCTATTAAACTACAGTATAAATAATGTAAACCCATTCATGACTGCATATTGGAATGGCTATTCGGACAGGTATTGGACAGTGACATCATGTGTTTACTCTTGAACACAGCAAAGAATCCCAAAAATTTCTGCTACTGCTAAAATACAATAGTAATAATAATAATTTAATAATAATAATAATAATAATAATAATAATAATAATAATAAATACGATAGAATTGAGGAGGAAATTGTACAAAAAAACGAGGGAGTGGTTGACACATCGTCAGTGTGGCTTTGTTTATGCTGGAGTGAGCATTAGTCTCCGTGCTCTTCCAAACATTTCACAATAATTCATTGTTTGGTGCTTGTAGATTGAGTGTGACTGGAGTGGTACAGGCAGTGGTTGAGGCAGTGGGCGAGGCAATGGTAGAGGTAGTGGTTGAGGCAGTGGTTGAGGCAATGGTTGAGGCTATGGTAGAGGCAGTGGTTGAGGCAGCGGATGAGGCAATGGTAAAGGCAGCAGTTGAGGCAGTGGTATTTAATAACATATATGTTATAAATAATAATAGTACATGTTATTATTAATAACATTATTATTAATAACATGTATTATTATTCTTATTATTGTTATTATTACCATGTATGTTATTAAATACCACTGCCTCAACCGCTGCCTCACCCACTGCCTCAATCGCTGCCTTGCCCACTGCCTCACCCACTGCCTCAACCGCTGCCTCACCCACTGCCTCAACCGCTTCCTCAACCACTGCCTCTACCACTCCAGTTGCACTCAATCTACAAGCACCAAACACAATGAATTATTGTGAAATGTTTGGAAGAGCACAGAGACTAATGCTCACTCCAGCATAAACAAAGCCACACTGACAATGTGTCAACCACTCCCTCGTATTTTTGTACAATTTCCTTCTTCAATTCTATTGTATTTATAATTATTATTGTTATTGTTATTATTATTATTATTATTATTATTATTATTCTTTCTTTCTTTCAACACACTGGCCGCATCCACCGAGGCGGGGTGGCCCAAAAGGAAAAACGAAAGTTTCTCCTTTTGCATTTAGTAATATATACAGGAGAAGAGGTTACTAGCCCCTTGCTCCCGGCATTTTAGTTACCTCTTACAACACGCATGGCTTACAGAGGAAGAATTCTGTTCCACTTCCCCATGGAGGTAAGAGGAAATAAACAAGAACAAGAACTAGAAAGAAAATAGAAGAAAACCCGAAGGGGTGTGTATATATATGCTTGTACATGTATGTGTAGTGTGACCTAAGTGTAAGTAGAAGTAGCAAGACATACCTGAAATCTTGCATGTGTATGAGACAGAAAAAAAAAGACACCAGCAATCCTACCATCGTGTAAAACAGTTACAGGCTTCAGTTTTACATTCACTTGGCAGGACGGTAGTACCTCCCTGGGTGGTTGCTGTCTACCAACCTACTACCTATAATTATTATTACTGTTGTTATTATTAGCAGTAGCAGAAATGCTTGATTCTTTGCTGTGTTCAAGAGTAAACACAGGATGTCACTGTCCAATACCTGTCCGAATAGCCATTCCAATATGCAGTCATGAATGGGTTTACATTATTTATACTGTAGTTTAATAGCAAATAATGAACAAACAAAACACTCACCACACTGAGTGGTGGGAGGGCTGGCTGCCAGTTGCGGGGGTCAGAGGAAGGGTAGTAGGGACTCGCAGGTGGCGGGAAATTTAAATATGATTTGGCGGCTGGGAATTTGGCAGTTGGGAATTTGCGAATGTGTGAAGCCCGCGAAAGTTGAAAATGCGAATGTTGAGGGAGACCTCTATTTACTCATAAAAAGATTCATTTTCTATAACAAGAACAGCACCCGTTTTCTGTATATAAATGAAAGAATAACTAGTATAAATTGCTTTCTCAATGAGAGTAAAATATGAGAAATATATACCAATCATAAAACTTACTGTTGACTGATTATATCCCAGATATAACTGTGGTAGTAAAAGTTTAATGTTGGATCATGTTCTGGCATTCCTGTTGTTCATATTGTTTTAATGTATTACTGAATTTAAATATTAAATATAACTTGCTATAATTTATGTCTCTATTAAAAAAGTAAGATAACTTACCATCTTTGACCCTAATGAAGCTGCCCGGGTCATTGTTCACATCAATGTCCTGTAGGTGTTATACAAGATAATATATCAATGATATATCAATGCATATTTTGTATTCATCAATGTCCTGCAGGTGTTAAAAATATATAATTATTGCCATTCTATTCTTAAGTAAATTATGATTATTATTATTATTACAGTGCCCCGTGGCCTAGTGGCTAAAGCTATGGTTTCACACGGCGAGGGTCTGGGCTCGATTTCCAGCGAGGGTAGAAACACTGGGCATGTTTCTTTACACCGGCTGTCTATGTTCCTCATCAGTAAAATGGGTACCTGGGAGTTAGTCAACTGATGTGGGTCACATCCTTGGACAACACTGACCTAATCTGCCCAAAATGCTCTGCATAACAAGCGGCTTTCTATGTAGTAGTATGTCACTGATGTCAGATAGGCCTTTATACCTTGTACATGTACTTGTAGAAATAAAGATATTATATTATTATTACATTATACAGTGGTACCCTGAGTTTCAAACTTTCTTCGTTCCAGAAGGCTGTTCGAGTGCCGTTACCGAACGAATTTGTTCCCATAAAGAATAATGTAAATTAGATTAGTCCATTTCAGACCCCCAAAAATACACTTACAAAAGCACTTACAATAATATACCTGCATAATTGGTCAAGTTGGGAGCAGTTTGAAACTCTGGGTACCACAGTATTACTATAAATGCTTAGCATATCTATGAATTTTCTGCATGTACAACTATATCTCACCCATCTCTGTACAAACATTGTATTATGTGGATGTATGTCTGACTTTGATGGAAGAATGAGTCTTCACTACTTCTTGACATGACTGAAATAGGCTTAGAAAAAAAAGAGAATCAAGCTTCTGCTAATTCTTACACTGAATGACTTACACAGGGCCACGAGGGAGCTGACTCCTGAAACCCTCTCTAGGTATACATGTGTCTAGACCAGGCTTCCCTGGGAGGGTCTTCAGGGTCTTGGGTGATCTTCAGGGTCTTGATGCCTTTCACCTGCATCAAGGAACCCTCTCCCCCCCCCCCCAAATAAAAGATGAGAGAGAATGTTAAAAATAGAGCTCTAAAAAAACGAAGAAGAAATCTTTGGCAACTTCTCACCTGGCTGTTACTGGTCATTTCCCTGGAAATATCTGTCCAGGTATCATCAAGGCGATGCAAGTTAGTCACTACATCTTTCCTGTCCTCACTGTCATTGCACAAGTTATCATAATCACTATTATCCACCCAATCTTCCATCTTTATTGTTCTGTGGAGAAATTAAAAGTTGCCTAATTTTAATGAGAAAATGAGAAGTAAAATAGTAATGGTATTACTATAGAAAAACAGAGGTAGTTATTACAGTGCCAGACTGAAGGAGTGACTACCTACAATCAGGAATGAGGGACTGAACATCTTCAATCAAAACTGAGAGACTGACCATTGAGTCAAGCTCTGGTTACCGTCCACTGAGGAAGGGCAACAAAAATTAAGAAGAAAATATTAACAAACATTCATTCAATCAGTCTTTTCAAAAACTGCACTGACATCATTGTTCAGATGTCCCTCCAAAATGCATCATCCTCACCCATCCTTCGGAGTTGTCCATCCTTTGGAGTGCAGGCACTTTGGAGGGAACTCCGAAGATGGAGAAGATGATGCCAGACTCTAGACTGGCTAACTGGCTTCCCGAATCCCTTTATA